AAACTTTTTTACCATCTTTCACTAGTTAGATACTCCACGTTGTAGCATTGGCATTAATTTTGGGGTGTAGTTTAACTTCCAATAGAGTGATAACAATATTATCAAGATTCAGTTACACTTAAACAAAACACCACTTTCCACAGTACCAATAATAGAAGCGGCATTTCCTCTTTGGATGGCTAAAGAAATGTTCTGCTTTAAAAACTCATGGCTGCGAATCTCGCCTGTTTGTAATTCATTCAACCTTCTTTCCGACTTCTTTAGCCAGTTTCTTGGCTGATGAACCAAAACTACCAAAAGTTTCGAATCCAACAGCAGCGAACACATATCGTCCTGACAGGAAGCTGTATTGTGCACTTTTTCGGCTTCTGCCTGGTCGGCTGCCGCTCCGGCCCTTAAGCTGGTGTGATCCAAATATGAGCGCGCGACGGTGTCCCCACAGGTTACATCCCAGGCTAAACACAGCCTTTTCGTCCAGGGGAAAGTAGTGATTCCGTCTGGGCGTGTGTCGTTTTCGTGGTACATGCCTCTAGGTTCCGTTCGCGCCACGATGCCTGCCAAAACCACAGCTCGTCGGCATTAATTATTGGTGCGTCTTTCAGCAGTTCCTTGGCTAAAATGGCGTACGTTGCAAAAAATCCTGCCCTCTACAAATGAACGAGTACAGTGCATTCGTGCGCTAGCATACATACTGTACTCATAAAACAGGATACAACTACAGGTCAACCAAGCATTTCCTTGCTGCGGCTATCAACCCGCGGTCGAACAAGAAAAACCCTCCACCGGTCAACAGCGGCGGCAACCATCGCACGGAGCGCAAAAAATTCCGCAGACACTCCGTCTCAGATAAACTGTGTTCCGAGGAGTGCGTATCATGTCATTCCCGTGGCGACAGAAGCTTCTTCAGCATTATCTCCCACTGTGATGTAGCAAAAAATTAATGTCTTTAAAACGTTGTTAATATTTTCGCAAGTACTGCAAAATGATTCATCTTCGTCTGCATCAAGGAGAATTTATACTGTGGTAGCAAGACTGAAAATGAAATTTTTGAAATTCGTCAGTGTAATAATAATAGTTAGTATTAGTTACATCTATCACTGGGCGAAAGTTGAGTAAATTCAGGTGGCAACGAAAAAAGTTATTGATGTTTTTTCGTTGCCGACCATGAGCGATTCGGCGGGCTAGTGTCATGTCAAATGTGTGGTTTTGATGCAGCTCAATTGAGCCAGTGAGAATAGTCAAAAAAGGTCGAAACCGGTATAATCTCTTCTGAAATTTGCTGAAGGAGACACCATCATTCAATACAGAGTACATGGTCCAGAGGTCGTATTTCAAGATAATTTCGTGATATGTTGACGAATGTTGTACTGTTGTTAACGATTTCCGTACAGCTAACTGTACCTGTAATGTGGGCTAAGAAGAATGTATCATATTGCACGAACATGAGTTTATGTGCTGGAACCCAGAGCTGGGTTCCAGCTCTGGGTTTTTGGTTGTATAGTTAAATTTCTGAACCACTAACACACCAGCCGCTTTCATCGTCTTCTGCGCTGCATTTTACCTCAAAATGGAGCTTGATAGACAACACGATTGGCAACAGCATCGACAGCATACAAAACCCAATCACAATCACCGGTATCAGCGCTCTCACGGACCCACTGAATGCCGGATTGCAGAAACTCTGCACGAAGCACATCCTTAACCTACTGCAGCCAATATGAAACAGAACTATCAGCGAGAACGCTCTGCCCAACGCATCAATGTAGCTGCGCATTTTCATAACGCTTTCTTGAACAACCTCAGGCATGAACTCTTTTTTTCCGCAAATAGGCATCTCGCATCATAGCAATTCCGTCCAGAATACGCTTGCACATAACGGCCAGAACTAAGTAAGACAGCATCTGCGGCACGCCCATCAGCGGATACACGGCACACTGCCACGCCCACAGCGGCATGATGAATTCGCCCATCACTTGGAAGTAGTTAGCATCCATGGTCCGCGGTAGTGTGGTTAGAGAATTCTCGAACAATATCAGTATTCGTTGCGTAATCCAGCGAACCGTAAAGAAAGTTGTAAAGAACTCCACACTAAAATTGTTGCCGGCCGCGAGATACATGTAGCATTGAATACTTTCTGTTTGAAGACGAAAGCAAATACTATCAGCACCGCGGCTTCGTATATAACAGCTGAATGGCAACGGCTATATTTAAATTGGATAAGAAAAGGGCATGGAGACATCCGGCATGATGAAGGCGCTGAGCACCTGAGCATACCGCCCCATAACTAACAGCAGCTTTTAACGGCTTTGAACACAGTGAGTGGCTTATGCTGCAGGGTACAACCTACTTCATTTACATGCCCATTAGCAGATTTTACTTCACCAGAGGAAAAAAATTATTTGTTTGTGAAGCAATACAAGCGAACAAATCTGTAACACTCAGGATCTTCCGCTTCTGATTGCTGAGCAAGTCATAATCTTACTGCAGAATTTTTGTCACTTTATTGTAAAGCATTCGTGCAAATCTTCCCATCGATTGGATACCTTGTACCTGCTTCTCGCTGCTATGTCGAGAATCGTTGTGAATATCGTTCGACACGCTTAAACCAATAACTGTGTACGTGAAGCCATGAAGCATTGCACTGACAAACTTACATCTTTCTACGCCATTTCCAGCTTTCGCCGGTAGAATCCCGTACCAATACCCGTTGAAGCGCACCGTTCCAAACCTTTCGGGGTCATCAGTACCTGACGACCGTCCTCTAGTGCTTCTAGTGGGCCATTATTACCCTGATCACTATCCTCACCGCCATGGCCATGATTTCCGCCACCCTGTCCCTGAAAATCCTGACCTTCTGGCTTTTGCGCAGTACACCCAAAAGTGCACCTAGCTGATTGTCACAATTTTGACCTTTAACCCTCCAGCGCTCACTACTCGAACGGGTGGGAGTTTCTTTGTGAAAACCTGGATTTTACGATAAAAAAATTCAATTAAGAAAGGGAATTTTTTGTGTGCTTGTACTGACCATAGGTCACCGGCGGTGACATGGGTGATTAGCAACACCATTGGGCGCAGACGATTCTAGCCATGAAAACGTTTAATTCTATAATAATTCGGCGAACAACACCTGACAGAAACAAACGTTTATCGTACAGTTCATAAAGAGGGCTTCAAAACAAGGGCATTGCAGTGGTCAATAAACTGACCATTGGTCAGCAAAACTGGAAAATAAGCACAACGGTTTTTGCATGATGTATAGTAATTGGTGGATAACCGGACACAATAAGTACAGCGATTATCAACAATCCATCTATCAAATTAGCGTTACTTTTTAATTTTTATACAAGACATCGCGTAACAGTCTTCATGCCACGCTGAGCTGCTTTTACACTGCGTGCATGGTGCATGATTTAACTTTTATGGCCATGGATGTAGCCGCAGCGTTTGGATCGGAAATCAGCGATGACGGTACAGTAGCACGTGCGGTAGTGATGCGCTGAAGTTCACATCAACAGTTCTGGAAGCAGCAGCCGCCATCATGAACTCAGCATCGGCCGAATGTTATTAATACACCTGGCGCAAAGGTCACTACTCACTATCGACCATGTGCTTATTGGAGCTGTTATCATCCACACCTGCAGAAGACCGACATATTTTTTTCCTGCTCGCATACACCGCTGTAATGTCCGCTTCGTTTAAACTGCAGTAGATCGCACAAGGCGCAAGGCAGACTGCAGGATTGTAATGCCGATTACAGTGGAATTGCACTACTGCAGATTACGAAACAAGGTTACCACGCTCGGCTACCTTGAAGGCTTGGTTGTCCAGAAACGACCAACGATTCATTCGTTTGAGTGCCATTGCCGACCGCCCAGGGTGCCGCCCAACTAAATCGTTTTTGAAAGAGTTCCGGCAAGCAGAACCACGTGGATCGTGTTACGGTAGAGGTCCGAACCAACAAGACCTTATCCGATTTACATAATTATAAAAGTTTCGAAATTGCGACCGCCCGTACTTCAGGACCATACATGCCCAATGGTGTCTGCACGCAACACGAGTTTTCGATGGAGTGTGGCCATCTACTGTTTAACTTTCAGAACCGATGCTTGTTATTTTCTAATAAAGCATCACTGATATTACATTATTGAATTATCTCAGATTAATTTACTCTGTGACTACTTAGTTAATTAGCAGGACCTTCGGGAGGTCAGAAAGTTCGAAATTAGCGACTTTCGCGATCTCGTGGTTTTTGAGGGACTCAAGATTCCAGTTTGGCTTGTGTTTTTATTGCTGCTGTTAGGTCTCGTAACGCTGATTACGCTTTCAGATATCGGTTAATTGCTGTTGTTCATTACGAAAAACATTTTGAAGACCCTGTTGCGCCCCAACACCAATGGGCGTCAGCGGGTTAATCAACGGACCAGTCTGCGGAGACAAAACTGTTGTGTCAGCGTCCACGTCGGTGAACTTTGCTGCACGGAAGTACTGGTGTTGATCGTTTACATCGCGCTGCATTTAAGTACTCTGTGGATGTCATATTCACCGGAGAGTATAAAAAAAATTTGTTCTTATTCCAGTAGCACTCCCCGCGTAACGAGTTTTCATTATAGACCGCGATGATGCTGCTGGCATAAGCCCGCTCGCCAAAATGTGGCGTGGATTTTTTTTATAATCTGCACTTAATTTTGCGGTTATAGGATTCTTTGCAACTTATGCCGTGCTCATGAAACAGCTTTAGTGTAACTGCAGTTAATGGTTTGCTGAACGTTTCAGATGACGGACAGTTAATTTAAATTGCTCTTCTAGTGGTACCCGGCACTGCAACACTAATACGGCTATATGTGGCTTACTTAAATCAGTTAGAGGTGACCGTTCCGATGAATTAATCACGATGCGAAATATGTGGACGTACTCGGTTGTCGCTACTGAGTTGACTTAGCAATACAAGAATAAGCGTACATATAGTGTGTATGCGTTAAAAGTGCGTTGTTACTTTATTGTTCTTCCTTCGACACGATTCGTTTTAATAAAAAAACACGAACATATAAAAGGCACGACACAGCAATGGTGGCTACAACAAGGTTCGATTACTCGGGAACATCTTCGTTCCGTGGCCAATTATTTCTCATCCTTTGAACTGCGAGGGTTCGGGGTGCGCGATCGTGACCGTTTATCGCGATTGCGCTCGTGCACCTGGCTCCCGGAAAGTACCTCCCCGCTTGAATCCAGAACTTGGCTTGAGTTCATCCCGGTGGTCCGCATCTCAAAATTGCTGGAGCCAGCCTTTCCAGCGCGCGTGTCCTTCAACAACAACAGTAAAATTACAGACAAAACACCGTTTAAATTAGGAAGTTCCTAATTAGGTTCGTGCCTAGCGATAATGCCGATAAATAATTATAAACGAGAGTCTCAACGTAATAAAAGAGTCAATAGTGACCGCCTGCCGATACCAGCAGTTTACGCCAAAGACCTCGAAGACCGGGTTATGCTGCCGTAATGTTCAGGTGGACGGTTACCCCTTTTCTCTACGATCGGATGGCAGTCTTACAGTTTCTTCAAAAAATACGGCAAACAAGCGGCAACGGTAGAGAGTTTGCGGAACGATAGCTGAATTCGACCCACGCAGGGTCCTTTCAACACAAGCACGATCGAAACTATGTCCAGTTAGTCTCTATAGGGTTGCGCATTTTCGTTTCACTATCAAATGACGTTCGTAGAAGTATCTTCTGCCTAGCGGCTACAGTTATCGTATTCGCCTGATTGGCACGTGTCTTCCCGCTGATGACTGCTGCTTAAACGGACCCCGGTCCACACCTTATTACGGAACTGGCGCTCATCGCCTTCCATTGGCCAGACGTGACCGGCACTTCGTATACCGAACAGCGGCAAAGTGCAGGCTGGTGCACGGCAAGGCGACCAAACTCTCGAGATTTCGGTCGCATGACACCATATAAGCATTCACAATGAGTAGCTGTGAGCGGTGATGGTGTTTAGTGAGAAACTCCTAGATCCCAAAACGGAAGTGCAAAGGCTAGTGCAATGGTGAAGCTCAATGCTATGTCGGCTTATGCATTGCGCTGCCACTGTCGATGTCGAAGTTTCTTGCAGCGGCCCGACTCACAGAAGAACTCGAACGACATAGCACACAGTCAACTCGCACATGACGTTGTGCATCGGTTTCGTTATCCTGATGCTGATGTCGGCACTCCATATTAAGCGTTAGGCAACTTAGGCTATTGCAGTAGTGGGCATGACTTCGCATGTGGGCAGCCAATTTCAAAAGAAAGATATCACAAGATCATCGACCAAAATTAATTTTTTATAAATCCCAACGATCGGTGTCGTATCATTTCAACAACCTCAAAACAAAACCATTAGCGAAAATTTATAACTATGTATGAACCCTTGATCATGAAAACCTTCAGTTAGGAATCGATGCTTCTGTTAAAAATTAACTTTGTTTCGGGTTCACCCGTTGCTGACCATTGAGCGTGCATGACCAAAGGCGTCTGTGCAGCGACATCGGAAGAAATGTTTTCAATTTATAACGGAAGACTGGATCTGTTCTGTTTAATTTTTTTTAGTAAATCAAGGACTAACTGACAGGATAGAAATCATGTGTGAATGCGAGAGCGGTAACTAACCGAATTCTAGATCAGTATCTACGTACAGTATTTATCTCTCTTCTGAAATATTTGTTGCACAGCAGCTGTACAGGAAAATGGGGTAGCAAGGCTGCTCAAGACTGAAGTTAATTTTGGAAAATACTAGCTACAGGGAAAACTTACAACGTCAGTTTCCAACCAAAGATCCCGGTTTCGCAGTTTATCCCATTCGCGGATAGTTTCCGTCATGAACTTGCGCGTAATCCCATGTTCGGTCGAAATGCGAGTTTTCGAAAATCCTTCGATAACTGTATGCTCACGCCAGGCCTCGGGCCCCGATCTACAGCATACAGGAAAATTCAGGCAAAACTCGCAGTGCGACCAAGGCGAAAAGAACAGAAAATCAGAGAGCGAGAAAGATCTATAATACAGCCACTTACAACAACGCCGTAATCCCCTGCACCGCCTTCTTCAGCGATTTTTCATAGTGGCAGCCGAGAATTACGCACACGTCCGGGAGCCCGCTCCCTGGCAAAAATTTGCTGCGGCCCTTCACGTCTCGCAGCTCGTATTTCTTGTGTAACATAACCTTCGTCAGGCGCTTTTCGACGCGCTTGTCTGTAATATTCAGACATAAGGAGCCGTTTGCTTTCAGCGACTAAAATGTTTAAAAAATCATAATAATAATTATAATCATAATAATTACATCGTGTTCCGCTGAGTTTGTGCAAGATAAGCAAAGCAACGAAATAATCATCAGAATACGGGTCCTGATCTTCGAGGATTCGGAAACCACGGTCTGCCATGATGGAGATGATGCTCTCAAACAAAACACACACTGATGAATTTACAGAAAAACGAAGAACTTCGCACAAATCGTGGAGCACTACAATCGTACAGACCATGAGAAAACAAAAACGGAGTCTACAAACGAAAACTAAAAGTTTGTTGGGAATAAGAGTTACCTTTTGTAGATTTATGCTTAGAAGTTAAATCTGATAAAGCTCAAACAGTGAATACCAAGAACAATATTGAAAATCTCGTTTGATTACGAGTGTGCGAGTGGGATCTTCCGTCTTTGATAATAATTAATAATAATAACACTGTCGCAGTTATTCGTCAGAACATGGCGCTCCAGACTGTGAAGATACTTAGTACTGCTGCAGTGCCACACTTACAGGGTTTTCATTAGAGTGGCATTATTATTTGGCTCGGGAAATTGCTGATTAAGTACAGTAATTGTGCAGTAATGATGCTAATGGTAAGCGCAACCGAATGGACAGTACAGTACGAGCCGAAGTATTGGGTTCGGTTGCTGACCAGTAAAGTTGAAATCGGCGCATATTGACCAAAATATGAGACTTATACCACCTTGTAGTATAAAATCTGCACTATTTGGATAAATTTTTTATATTCCGGTAAGTATTATTAATTTCGTGTAATAATCATCCAAAGTAAGTATGAGAGAACGTTCGGTGACGTCTACTCGCGCACATCAAAGATGCCGCCCATCGCGTACCTGAGATACGGATCTTCTCAAATGCTGATCGCGGATATGCTGCATCGCCTGGTTATCAGTTGGCAGATCATATCCGCGGATTCAGTGCGAGCTGAAGTGAAGTCAGCTGTATCGTCTGAGCACTGAACGGCATAATTTTTGTTTCTGGTTCTACGAACCAGAAAAATTGCAATTCAAACTTTCTAGATTTGAAAACTTACGAAAATAATAGTATTCCGTCGGCGCTCTATGTAAATCGAAAATTAGAGCGAATAATAAATTTTCTTTTATCGTTAACGTAGCTGCTGTACAGACTGGCCAGCGCTGAAGATCGGAGTAAAGATCCGTATCTCAGGTGCGCGATGGGCGGCATCTTTGATGTGCGAGCGTAGACGTCACCGAACGTTCTCCCATACTTACTTTGGACGATTATTACACAAAAGTATTAATACTTACCGGAAAATAAAAAATTTATCCAGATACTACAGATTTTATACTACAAGGTGGTATAAGTCTCATATTTTGGTCAAAATATGCGCTGATTTCGACTTTACTGGTGAGAGCCCGAACTCAAGCTCGGATCTGAACTCAGACTTGGACTACTAAATTCAGACTACACTTACGCTTTGACTAGCACGTTTCTTGTTTTCTTATGTCTTCCTATCCATCCAGTACGAGTATATATTAAAGCAGGACTCTCTGTTCGAACAGATCCCGCCTCCAAGCTGTTCTGATTGTCCAGAACCAGCCTTTCGGCTTTCAAGCTTTTAGCTATAAGCTTTCGAAACCTTAGTGCCTGTTCCAGCCTTTATTTGATCAGCCAGAACTACCGGGTTTGATAGATAAATCAGAACTGCCGGATAAAACAGAGCTACCAGAGCAGCCAGATAAACCAAAACTAACAGATCAGCCAAAACTGACAAATCTGCCAGATCAGCCTGAACTGCCAATTCTTCCAGAAGTGAAGTTTCCAAACACACTAAACTTTTAAAGTTTAACAAAGCTAAGCTTTAGGAAGATTAGTACGACTAGGCTTTGGAAAGCTTAGTAAATTAATAAACCCAGAAACCTTGTAACCGTAGGCCACGCGTGGGTATCCACCTTTTTAAGCCTTTTGTACCCGAAAGCCACGCCTGTGGTACCCACGTTTTTAATCTTCGGTCACCGAAGGCTTTTTAAACCTTTGGTAACCTATGGCCTTTTAAACCTTTTGTCACCGAAAGCCACGCGTGCGGTACCCGCCTTATTAAGCCTTTGGTCTCCGAAGGCCAGTACTTTAAAAATTTTAAACGGGAGCACTGTTTAAATTCGTAACCGGTTTTGCAAAAGACTGAAAAATTACTTTACTATTTCTGTTTTCGAACAAAGCTCGTTACTGTACTTTATTAACCAGTTTAAAAACCTAAACTCAAAACATGAAGTATAAAATACTGGCAGTACTTTACATAAAATACTGACTTTATGTAAAGTACTGACTGTTCACCGATTCATGGATTCACGGCATGCGGGAAGTATAAAGTATTGGCAGTACTTTAAATAAAATACTGATTTTATGTAAAGTACTGACTTTTTCACCGATTTACGGAATTTAGTACATGTGGATGGATACACCGCTGTGCAGTACTTCACACAATCCCGGCATAGTGTGAAGGAATTTAACATGAGGCGCGAAAGAAAAGCTATTTTTGTTTGTCGTACAGGGGTGCCGCGCCAAGTTCGGACAGTTTATCTTAAAAATCACTTTAGGTCACCCACCAACAAATTACTAGTTATTGAATTTTTCTATTATTACTGTATGTGTCATGCATCTTTTTCACTATGGGTCGCGAAGCTGAGGGCGTGGCTTGCAATACAGCGAGATTTAAAGTAAAGCAGACCAGAGTGAAAAAACGATTCGACCCAACGACCATCCTAGTCTCCCTCCTGTTTAAAATTTGTTAAGAAATTCCACTGATGCTAGAGTCCAAAAAAGTGTATGCTGGACTGTTTGCCATTCAAAGCCGTTGCTAAATTCGTCTGACTTCATTCCATTTCAATAATGGCGACGTGACCTTTGCAATATTACTGTAGGCACTTGCAGAATGGTGGATGGTGCCCTTTGAGAGCTCGCACAGGAATCGCAGTAGGTGGGATGTGTCAAGTATGTACAAAAAACTCGTTGGCAAAGCACCGAGCAACATTTTAAGCTTTTGTTTTTGCCCAAAAGGCCTGCGACATCCCATTTCAGCACGTTTTCGCACCATCGAAAAATTTGTCTGGCCACTGCTGTGTCGGTGTTTTCTCCGATCCTTCTGCCACCCATGTCTTACTGCATGCTTGGTAGATAACAGATGGAATGCAAAAATCCTCTACTTTGATGCATGTCTCATTCTTGGGAAACATCTTCTCGAAGTTGTGTATCTCGGCGCGCTAGGCAACTACATTCTTCCGGAAGCACTGTTTAACATACAAGTCTATGGGAGGTGCATCTTCATTCTGGGTTACCTCGAGCACCATCCACAAGGAAGTTTTTGCTGACCCATACCACTTACTTACCTTTAAGGCCACTCAACAATTCAGAAAAATGTCCATCAAAGAATGTCACGTGGGGAATTTTCTAGAAGGTCAGTTATAAGCCCCCTGGAAATGACCACTACCCCATCCTGGTTTTAATCGGCTTACTACTTATTACCCCATTTAGCATTTCAAATTTTAGCATACTCAGATCCGCATTAAAAATTACACTAGAAAAGTGCAAAATAAAAAGTGAAACCAAGTATGCTAATATTTTTAAATTTAATTTTCGCAACTGTCCGAACTTGGCGCGGCACCCCTGTACTTACAGTTAATATAATATTATTATTATTACAATGTACGATCGTCGTACGTGAAATCCGGGTTCGTACCTTTTCTATATACCAAATTTTGACGTACTAAAGTTTCCTATAATTACAAAACTCCTGCGCATAGCTGTGACCTTGTATGTCGAACATCATCAGTCAAGCAAAACATTTTTAAAAAGGTCAAAGCTATGCGCTGGAGTTTTGTAATTATAAGAAACTTTAGTAAGTCAAAATTTTGTATATAGAAAAGGTGCGAACCCGGATTTCACGTACGACGATCTTACATTGTAATAATAATAATATTATATTAACTGTAAGTTGTTTTGCTTGACTGATGATGTACGACATGTTCAGCAGTCATCCGCATGTGTATAGAGTAGATACAGTTGTAGAATCTGTATTTACGTATAACGTCACTCTAAATTCCGAAATACTGTAGAAAAATCGGAAAGTTTGGAGGCTACAAAGCGAATGATTAAACATTCCTTTTCAAATAGAACTACCATTAAGTAGTATCAAGATTTCAAGTATTGCAGTATATACGCGTAATACATACTGTAGCCGCGCGATGAGTTTGCACCGCAGAGTCTGGTATACGGAAATCGTCATACACGCTGCAGCATGTTCTACGTAACGTGTGCGCTGTCCGATCGGGGGCAGGCAGCGCCCGGATCTAAAAGTGGTGCAAACTTATCGCACGGCTACAGTATTACATACGTACGTAATGTGCTTTCGCGTAATACGTAATACACGTATGCACATCCCTTTATTCTGATGGCTTTTGCCCAGTAAACATACGAGTATATAACATTCCTTCTGCGAAGCACAAAATTAATTTATTGGGCAGGGTATTGGCAGCCACCTTGCGCTGTGCGTTCAGTGAGATGGAAACTGGCGTCTTGCATAAAAGTCGTTTTGTGTGTGGGTTTGATTATTGTAGCACACGTGACCTTAGTTTTACTTTACAACGGTTTGATTGAGTATGCTTGAAGCAGCATATTTTAACTTCTTAAGAGCTCGATAAAAAGAAAATAACAAAATAAAAGAATTTAATTACAATTACAGAGACCCCTGTTTAGGTTTTCAATTATAATAATAGTTTATATCGCAAGAATAATGCACTACGCTTACGTTTGCGTATCACGCAGTGTAGAAATTTAAAGCGATGGTGTTAGAACAACTCAACACAAATTTGGCTGCGGCTCCTAGACTAAAACCAGAACAACAGAGCGGTATACATATATACGCATTCAGTTTTTTGAATATACTATATTTGTTTTACTTTTACGTCGGTCTGCACACAGATGCAGACTTAACACTATGTATGAAAAGAAGAAGACTAGTCTTCGCATAGGAATAGTGTTAACGTCTTGTTTTTGCTTTGTCTATGGAGATTTGTAACCAAAATGTTACACGCCTTTGATTCGCCCATTTTCGGGGAATGGTTTAGTATTTTCCGGAGGGCAAAATCCTGCAGAGCGCAGTGAGTTATCCATACATAAAGACACTGTATACGTTATGCATACAAAGACTAAGTATATACGGCTTGTTTTTGAACGGTTAATACTTTTTAAGAGAGTAGTTTAGCATTGCTGGCAGTGTAACTGTGCAACCATCCACAGTTGGTTTAGTTACTCAAGTAAGCCGCTGACCGCTGGTTGCGTTCCAGACTCCATCGAATGAAACGCTAGCTTTGTGTGTTATCGACTCATTCAATTTTGCTGAATCACCCAAGCATGGAGTTTGTAAGGATATTAGCAGTTACATTTAACGCAAAAGCCAAAAACATTTAGCTTTTTTTCTAATTCAGAATTTGTTTTTGCTGAGTGTTTTCAGAACATGCTGAATTTCTAATTTTAAATTTTCTAATTTAGAATTTGCTTTTTCATTTAAAACCGGTCAAGGGAAAATTCTGGTTGCCGGTTCCCGAGCACCACAAAAACTGAAGGCGGCGGCTGTGGAGTGTGGAGTAAAACGTACAAAGTCGATTTTGCATTCTTATCACTTACTTAAAATGAACTTAAACGTTTCATAAGCGTGATTCCGCATGTATTGAAATTTCTTGGCAGCGACAAAAGGTGTCACAGAAAGCAGCATGTTCTAAATTTTTGAAGTTGGTTTGTTTTATACAATGACTGATCGAGCCACAAGAGTTGGAGTTATCTGGGCAAGTCCAAGAAAAACGACCAGCCGTGAGAAACTGCATTAAACCGTCGCCTGTTTGCGATTGCATCGGTTACAGTGCACCTGTTAACGTGTTTTTTCAAAACATCAAATTTTTTAATTTTGGTTCAATCCACACCTAAGGGACTAATTTCAATATTTCAGGCAGGAAATGGGTGCTAAAATGTGCACATTCCCATTCCAGCAGCACGCTGCTGAAATGAAAATCTTTGAAAATTCGTAACTTTGTTATTTTCCGTGCTGAATTTTTTTATATGCGCTTAAAAAATATAAAATAATATATACTATTAGGAAGAATAACTGATTTTCTGGTTTGGTCTCAAGGTTTGGCACTCAGAGCATACGTGCTTAGCATAGCCGCCTATGAGAAATCTCGAATGAGTCTTCCATAGACAGGTACTTCTGTTAACAGCAAAGGCTCACAGTGAATAACCCGGAATTAAAAAACTGAGAATCAGTTTTTTTGCCTAACGGTATGCGTTATTTTGTATTTTTTAAGCTTATACAAAAGAATTTAACAATAAAATTTACAAAATTACGAATTTTTGAAGATTTTTATTCCAGCAGCGTGCTCCATGGGCCACCGCACGCGTACATCAGCTATGTTGCTGCTAGACAGCTGGCAAAATTTTGCCAGCGGCCCAGCAGTATTGCAAACAAAATCGACAATAAATTTAAGAAATAAGAATGGACTGCCTTGTAAATAGTATGCTCTCGTCGTACATTGTATAGTACTTAACTATCCTCCAAAATTGTTGCAAAACAGGTGCGTGTCACAGTTTGGTTACTGACTCTCGTTTCACTGTTCAGAAACAAGCCGTATAATTATAGACTATAGAAAGTCTCATGTATTCTCGATATATACCACGACCGACGGAACTATTTCCGCGAGGAAATGCCACGAAGTGTTTTTGCAAATGCGCAGACCGAAGACGACAGAGTACGATATTCCAAGATCCTTTTCATATTAAATTTTGAGGTATTTCCCCGCGAGTGTTGCATAGTCTGCCCAAAGGCCGTAGAACATTCTAGACTTTTGTCTGCCACATGAACAAGCCCTAGTAGTATGCCTTCTGTAAGTAGTAAGTACATATTGATCGGTGTTGTATAATTTTATGTGAAAGCAGATCTCTCGGAGGCTGTGCTGGTTATCGATCAGATCGGTATGTGAATCGCCTACTTAGTGCGCCTTTCTCACTCTGAACTGATTACCGAAAGCTCTGTATTTGTAAGTTTGTAACCTACTTCATTAACCATATTGCATATTATCACAGTCTCCAGTTCTACGTTCTACCACTAGTGTTCTCTGCTAAAACTGTGTTCCGCGCTTTGTAACACGTAATGCTTTTGTGTTAAACGGTATAAAAATCCAGCTTTAATCCTTTGCATTTTCATAATAGCGGTTAAATATTTGGCTTACAGTCGCTTAGTTAAAATTCAATAATTGTTACACTTCTACTATGTTTTCGTTAGGTGCATTGTATATTTTACATTTTCAGGTTAACGGCAGAGTAACTGCATCATAGATTGAATATCTATGGAAAAGTTCCTTATATTCCCAATTCACCAGCCAGAGTATGCCACACACGGGTCTGGAAATGGTCTTTATGACCCATTTGTTGTGGATATATGGGGAAATTCTGGTGAATTTCAGCGTGGTTACGTGTGTGATGTAGATGAACACGGCCTGTCCGTTAAGCTGGACGGCCATACGGTACAACGTGTTCCTTTCGGTCGCGCATGGCTTGTTAAACAACAAGATTTCCAAGAATCAGCTATCCATCTAAATTCGGGAGACGTTGATGTTCGCATCAGCCCCACCGACATGGGCGTGGCGTCGTGGACGCCAGCTCGGTTAGTAAACAGTATTTCGTGCGCGAGTACGGAAATGTACAAGTGTAGTTCGTGCCCGTATTCTGTTGCCACGGTGGAAGTGATCCAGCCGGGCACCATGGCAACACGATACACCGTTATTGATGGACCAACGGCACTGGCCCAACGACTGCGCAAGCGCAGAGATCTCGGCCCACTCGTCCCACAGAAAGCCTTTCAAAAGGTCCACATGCGAATGTTCGACGCATCAGCGGAATATCCGTATCCAGAGCGCTTAATGAGAACTGCACGTTCATCTCCACGATTCCAGAATTTCTGGCTGAGGCTCACCCGCACGATGTTAGTTAGCCTGCACGATGGGTATACGGAAGTGCTGCTACCCCCTGATTTCGAGAAATATTGTTCGAGGGAGGATGACGACAACGAGGGCGATGACCATTGCCGTCCGGTGTGGAAATCAATAGGGGATTTTGTGGATCGTTTGCTCGTAATGCAGCACAGGACCGTCGACCGAATACTGGACGGCTTGGTTATCGCTCTTCTGCAATCACACGGTAAGAAGACTCCAAGCAGTAAACACCGTTACAACTTTCATTTAGTTGACACAGTCAGCAGAATAAAGTTCGACAGATATTTGATGTACAGTATATGCCGACAACGTTCATAATCAGTAATACGACTTCATGGGGCGTGTCAGGACGAGAACGAGGCCGGTCGCAAGTTCACTGCCATTTATAATGGGGACAATGCGCAGCAGCAGGAAGATGGTCACACTGGCGGCAAAAACAATTATCACAAAAATCCTGAAGGTGCTAAATTTAATAATGGGGCTGAATATTTGCGATGTTTCAAGTGTTTGTTAACCTTTGCTTGGCACATTGCGGCTTGCCCTGCCGATGATTGCCGCCTAGTCGAAACCGAATGGAAAAGAGCAGCTCGTGGTAAAACTAAAATCAGTGAAGTGGATGATGGCGGTAATAGCCAAAAGGGGAAATGGAAGGGAGTTACAACAGTTAGTGGGAGTGCTTGTTTTATCATTTTATAAAAGGGGTGATAGAGGGCGGCAATAGTAGAAGCACACTCCTCATTAAAAATCTTAACAAATGTTTGAACACACCTAAATTTGTAAACAGGACAAAATGGAAAACCACGAAAATAAATTTATTCGTTCAACGTTGTAATTGCTACTAAAAGTTTTTTGACTATTACAAATAGAGAATGTTCACGTATAACATCACTAAAGAAAAAAATAAATATTTTACCTGTTGGATTTACATATTTGAAAGCAATCCTGATTGAAAATGAAGATAACGAGATTCAAATTATGAATGGGGAATCATCCATTCAAACCGGCTTTGCTGATGCGCTCACTGTATCCTGTATTTCCGATCCTATTGCCCCTGTGATTTAGCAAGTGGGTTTGTGCACATCTGGACTCCGAAGCCCTTTAATATCCTTGTGCACTGCAGCACTATAAGAGATTTTTAAATGGAAAGCGATTTTTAATCGTAACCAGTACATGGCTAAAAGTAACAGACTCATTAGCAACCTTGCATCGACGATTTCCTGATTTACAGAGATTCATGACAATGAGCTCTGCTTCGATGAACTATTCTTCGAAATCCAGCTATTTGTCTACTCATATCTGGATATATTCGACCAAAATTTAGTTAAAAGGTATGGAAATGGAAGTTCGGGTGATATTTTATTTCCACCAGTCTCAGACAAATGTTGTCTACTTGCCACAGTGTAATTTCTGCAATTTTGATTTACCGTGTGCATTATCTTTAACGTGGAATCGCATGCACCTATAAAAACTTACTTTTACTTTCATGCTTTCATGCTTTTACTTGCTTTCGCCTATAGTGTAGAATATAGAACACAAAGTACAGAACACAGTACAAAATAAGAAAGTTCCTGTACATGTAATACATAATTAAGCTTTGATTATTGACAATACTCAAGAGCAATGGTTTTTGAACAGCTAATGCATTATTAATATCAGTCATTTAAGAAGATCTTGCTGGGAAGGTTACAATACGTCGATTGACATTATCAGGGTGAGCAAAACGTCTTTTAGCCTGGTCAACAGCAACATAATTCAGTCCTGCGTCAATGTGCCAACGCGCCCTACCTTTGACGCCGTGAATCCCGACATTGCTGGATCAACACGCAGTCCCTGGATGTGGAAAGAAAGTTTCGCCTTTGCCCACCTCCTGGCTCGAACTGTCACAAGACACTGTCGTATTCTGTGCATAATCGGGGAGTGGGATAATTGTCTGTTTTCCTTGGTGCAATTACTGAATTTCTTGTCGCTGAAGTTAAAGTGGCTGGTCATCGCTGACAATGCGGAACTGTACATTCGAGAGTTCCTAGATTTTCCTAAACCGAATAATGTCTTAAATTTTTCCGAACCGGATGTGTATACGGTTACCTTTTACGAGTCGCCGGCATACGGAACAATTTGCGATAATATTCTGCTTCGAAATTGTGTGTTTCCTGTGCAAAATTCCATTACCTTTCCCGGTGTGCTCCATGAAGAGAAGATGCGTATCATTGACTGCCCACTGTACTTCCGCTACACGGACACGTTTTCTGTCAGCGTGACGAGTTATTCATTCAGTTTTATCGGCACAACGAAGGCGGATTATCTGGTTTCTGTTACCCACATGTTCGAAGTATTTTGTCCGGAGCTGGAAAGCATAAAACTGGACCGTCTGTTGGATGGCTTGAGCATTTTTCCCCTTCAAACACATCATCAAGGGCTATTGCAATGGGCGTTTATGCGAGCCTCCTTTATGCTGTAAGTAATGCACCACTATCGATTATTTTTATGGGTTTTTGACGTTCATTTGACCTTGCTGCACGGCTAATCGAAGTTAGGCTGTTGCATCTGTGCTGCTCAGAGTCTCAGCGCGACTGTTAAAAGCTTTCTGTCGAGGGGTTAGCTTTCAATAGACCTAACACCCAAGCTTCTGTCATTGCATCACAATACTTCCCGGCGGCTCGATAAAATAATGTCAGCAGGCTGTGAAAAGTCCCAGTACTTTTCTCATAGTAAAGTATCTAAAGTTGTTGGATCCGCTTTCTAGGTGGAGCAGTCCGTCCCCCGATACCATTTCCGATATTCAAAATGCCATCGTAAAGGGAGCATCACAGCGCAAACTTGTGACACAGACTCTGCATTTGTTAACATTCCTGCAGAGGCCCTTATAGAAGGGCGCTGGAGCCGCAATAAAAGACACCCCAAACGGATTGATTGTTATCTTTGCTACCGGAACACGGTCTTCCCAACATATATTCGCGCTTTTTGCACCACAAAAATTATACAATCGGAGAACGATAGCCAGAATTCATGACTAATAGCCGGAAACGGGTGACCCAAAAGCTGCAACAGATACCATTCTTACAGTAATTTCTGCAAAGAGGCGTTAGACCTGCAATAAAAGGAGCCATGGAGTGCTTGACTGATTTATAATTTTCTTCCATAAACATTATTTACGGCGCTACTAGTATTTGTATACTTTGTACCGGTCCACCTTACGACTCTTGCGTTATTAATGTTCCAGCAATCAGGAAGTATTTGTATCCCGTAAAATGTGTACTGTATGACTATGGTAAAGAGAAGAATATCCCATCTGTCCGCCTACTCGCAGACTGCAACACCAGCCGAGTAGCAGAATAAAATCATTTCCCATGTGACGGCAAGATAAACAAACAAATCCGCAAATAATCGGGATCCTGCGCTTCTCAGTGCTGGGCGAATCATAAATGCAGTTTATTGTCAAACACCATCTGCACCTCTACATCAATCGATCACTTTTCTTTCTTCCATCACGATTCACATGTTGAATATTACTGCGAACATCGTTTTCGTACATTTAACTTATGGTCTGTTGATTAAAATGACCGTGATAACGTCTTTATCCATTGAACCATGAAGCCGACAGCACACGGACCGACATATTCGTTCCTACGCTTTTTTCTTCTACTGCCTACGGAGTGCACCGACGCTTCTCGTTCCACCGGCCTGTTCCGAATCTGCCAGGGCCGCAACCGCTTGGCAACCGCCCTAAAATGTCTTTACTGGGCTATTATTTCTCTGATGACCATTCTCACCGCCATGGCCATGATTTCCGCCACCCTGTCCCTGGGTATCCTGACTTTTCTGGCGTTTGCGCGGTATGCCATAAAGACCCAGTGCTATCTGCTGATTGTCATCGTCTTCACCTTCAAACAACGCTGCTTCCATGCACTTTGCGCGGAGACCGCCCTTCCTTTTGTCACTCCACCGCGGCGAGCCCGTTGTAATGTGGAAGTACTGCTGATGGTCGTATACGCTGCGCTGCACGTGAGCGGATACGTCCTGATAACCAGTGAATACTATTTGGTAAATCACCATAACGCCTGGCTGACCGAGTTCAGCCGGTTTGATCCGGTGGGCACGATGAATATCCCTTTCTGGGCATGGCAGCTGGTGTCCTATCCGCTCACCGTGATGCCCACGCTGATGGCCGATTATGTCATCGCGCTAATGGTGCTGGGTGTGTACAAATGCACAAGGGCGGTGCAGTCGTTAAGGTGTGTTTGTAAACTGGAATGTGGTTGAGTAGGTTTGCTGTGACATTTAAACCTTTCGAAATATAGCATGTATTTCTCAGGTAATCCGTAGTATTTAACTAAGGATTATCTGAGAAAGGAACACATTGTACAGTAATAAATGTGTGGCTCATTTTTTAAATTTTTTTAAGTAGCTTTCTAACATTTTTTAGACTTGGTTAGCAGGAATTTAGTATATCAATACAGTTCAAATCACTTCAAGAACGCGAAGGCCTATTTGATTTTTTAAGTCCTTTTGCCCTGACGTCGAAATTTATAATCGTGAAAGTTTGACGTAAGTCTTACTTTAAGGCATAGTGGAGGCGCTGATAACACGGATTTGGACGGAGTTAAGCTGTCTGTGCTGCGGATTCGCGAGTACATCGCCAATCTGGAAAGGTGTTTTTCGTTGGTGTTATTGCTGCACTGTGTGGCCAGCTGTTTGACCATTCTGGGCTGGGTGCAGTGTATTCGCATGCCGGATGGCAACGGTCTGGTCAGCATGTTGGTGGTGCTGATTCAGTCGACGCTGGCCACATGGAATGCCGTGTCTATACTGATTCCTGTCGGTTTTATTATTCTGCTGCAAGATGAGGTAAAGCCGCGCTTCGATAGCGACAATATGCGGCGGAAGCCGAATATTGCCCTACATTGCACCTGCCAGCTTCGTATGGTCCTGCCCAACTAATGATAATTACCAATTTCCGGCGTTGCCTTGCTTTCAAACAACGCTTTTCACAAATTTATGAAATTAATAGTTGTGCTGCTACTTTAGCTGGATAAGATGATCGATACGTTCTTACTCCCGCTGGAGTCACCGTATCCCGCCGATTACTCCGACCGACAGATCTTGATGACGGAAAGCTTCAAGCAGTCCCTCAACGCGATGCGACTAATTCCCGTGCGGCTTACCGCGGGACGCTTCTTCATTATCGACCGCGGCTTTATTGCTGGTGTAAGCTGCACTTTGAAAATGTAGTCCGGTATGTTTATACAATTCCATTTTATAGTTAGTGGGATTCTTCGCAACGTATGCCGTGCTGGTGAAAGAACTTCTGAAGAACACTTCCACTTATGGCGCGTACAACGTTTCCGTCGTTTCGGAATCGAGTCAGTAGCTACTAGCTAGTTGGACGGTTAATTTAGGTTGTGGTGCATGCAACCCGGCACTGCAATGAATCCAGTGATATCGGCAGCTTGTAACCGTCGTGCTTCTTCACACGGTACACGGTACACCGTACTTCGTGCTTGAAATTGCCGTGAATCTGATAAATCTAAGGGAATTTTGTTTTCATGTTTGTACTCTTTTCAATAAAGAAGGCGTAAGAACTAATTTGATTGAACGGCTGTAGACTTGTAAGTTGTAAGTACTAAATGTCTGGTTTGTCACATCGCGTACGACAGTTCCTAAGCACTGGTAATGTTCTTTACGTAATTCGTTCCACTGCACTGCATGGATGACACATACACTGCATTCCATGACGCTCTGTTGACGTAATAAGATGTCAGCGACAGCGGCCCGTGCCAGTGACATACAAATATTGTGCTGCCGAGGCGGCGACGCACTATAGGGGCGGGCAGAGCGGATATATATCCGTAATGAACCGGAAATGTCTCATTGTGTCATCATCACCAATCATGTGTGTGCCTGTCTGCGCCTCCGCTGTAAGTACTTTTTATCGCATCAGTCATCACCTGTAGATATTTATGGCTCTATCAGGCAGTACAGTACCGTTATCAGTAATAATGATGGACTTAAGCATAGCCTAGAACAAACAACAATATCTGTATATAGTAATTATAATAGTATCGGTATCCTCGCTGTGTTACAAAGCGTTTCTCGACGAACGATCTACTGCATGTGTTTATCCATTTGGCATGAAGGTTAGTTAAGTCTGCATGACGGCGCACAGTGAACCGCACGAGATCGGCTCGTTTTCCTGGAGCACCGCGCCATCTGTGCAGCATCTACTCTATCACGACGACCGCAGTGGTCTAAGGGAGCTGCATCGTCGCGGCCGACCGGGACAGACCCTGGTTGAGGAACTGTTTATTCCGCTCGATAAGGGGCGCCCAACCGAATCAATCCAAAAGAATCCCGGGCCCGGTTTGGAGCTGTTGCTACACTGGATGCAGCGTCATCCCCACAGTGTCGTTAAACATTCGTAAGAACACTGCTTTGTGCTTGGTGACGCTGTTCTGTTTGGAACTGGAAGTTGGTTGTACTTTAGGTGCCATGCAACGATCATCTGCTGGCGTGACGTTCTACACAAAGTTATAGTGACACCATACGAGAGACTGAAAGGTAATGCAAGACTTTACATTTCGGCAATAACGAAAAGTCTTTACGATATTCTACTATCTGGTGGGGGCAGGCTGGATAATTTACGCATGCAACGTCGATGGCCAAATCTACCTGTCTCTCAAGGAACCGGGCCTTACTGCAGCCCGGAGTGGTCAATCCCGAGATGCTCACTGGTACGTCAGCTGCAGCAAATCTGATTGGTTATTTGGACACAACTTTACAACTTATGCCACTATTCCCTTGCGTCACATTAAATGTTATTGTTCTATTAAGAGCAGTTTACGTGTTTTTGTATTTAAACGAGCATGCGGGTATCAGAATGAATGCGAAGACTGAACACGGTTTTATCTTGTGACCTTAGTGTATGCGAGCTTGCAAATCACTAAAATTTTGGTCCGCTAGTCTGTCTGTTCAGCGGTCCCACGGAACGGGAGTTAGGCAGGCTGATATTCTACTGGAGATTTTTAAAGCTATGTACCGGGATAGTTAACTTAATGTTTGGGTGCTGTAGTCTTAAAATCGAAGACAGCACGACATAAAGTTTTCGATGCGGACCTAATTTCAGGCAGCGCAGTTTCCAGCATTACATGACCAGTCCACCGCAGCGTCCCGAATCTCTCCCGGCATCTCCCTCCACCCGGCATTTTTGCTCCGTAACCAGCACAACAGTCGGTAGCACGACGGTAATTTCCGGTGGCGTGGTGGTCTGCTTCGATCCCGGCAAACTGCACATTTCTCCGCCGCAGTGCTACGTCCAGTTGCATATCGAGCAGCGAGCGGATGAAGAGAATCTCTGGCGCAAACTGTGGTCAGTGAAGTAATAATTATTATTTCAGTTTGGCTATTCCGGCGCGTTTGTGCAAGGATCTTTGTTAACCGGTTCTGTATAGGGACCATAGTATGCGCTCCATATGGGCGGAATGCTTTCTGTCCGGCACACCAAAGGTCATCATCGGCTACCATGACCAGCTGGGACATGTGTCCATGACAGAGGAACTGCGGACGGCCAAAATTCCGGCTTTGACGAAATGCCACAAAGTCGGTAGAATATATGTATCAAGACATATACATATTGTGTGTGTAGAACATATATGTATATGTTGTTTCAAGACAAGGAACAACAAACGCTTCAAACTGAATTTTAGTACAGTAATTTACGTTTACAGCAAAAAGAAAACACCTGGTCGGACTCCGTGTGTCTGGGCTATCTGCGGACCTTTGCAGATTTGGTGACGCAGACGGTTACCGACGACTACAATGAGTAAGCGGCAGTTACGACACCGGTTAATATTTAAGACATAATTAATAACTAAGTACCTAATATCCGTCAGTAATCAAGAATTATTTTGTGGGTCCACATTACGCCATAGCATAAAAGTGTCCAGCTTGCAGCAGTACAGAATTACAGTAGTTAGAGGCTAGAGCAGCATTTCATAATTTTTGTCAGAATTTAGTTAATTCGGGAATAAATATAAATTCGAAGATACGCTAAAAATCAGCAGAACAAACATATATCAGTTTGTTTACAAACAATATATAAATACTAAAATAATTACCTTAATTTTTGCCATTTTCTTATTTTAAAAAAAAATATAAACTATCGGATTCAAGCATTTTAATAGGGGATTTTTTATTTCATGTAGAGCGACATACACATTCGAATGGGATGCCGTCAAGAGCGATACCATCACTGTGGAGCGGTTACCTAACGAATCTCAACACCGGTTCCTACCGGCGTGGTATCTGGCGCAACCGCCTTCGCCACCGGCAAATCATTAATAATCAATTAGCTAGGAACAATTCTTATCGTGGCGCTTGGAAGCCGAAATATATTATTTTCTTCTAACCTGGCTGCCCAGCGTTGAATCTACTGAGTGAGATTCTGCTTCATTGTATCACAATGCTGCCCAATGTTTTCTCTTTATTTCCCTTTACACGAAGTTCACAGATTTTTTCGAATTAACCGCATTTACCGAGTCCCCCGTCTTCCATACGCATTTTTACAAATAAAAGGAATAATCTAATGCGCTATTAACGAGCAATCGTCATGCTTTCTGACCCGAACAAAATTAACGGTATATACTTCTACAGCAATTATCCGTAAAAATGCGAGTATGTACACAGAAATTGGCTGTATCTTGTATATGATTTCTTTATCATTTTTCCCTACACGAGGTTTTCCGAGTTTTCTTCGAGTTAACCGCATCCAGTATTTCCTCCATTTCTCCACGGATATTTTCACGAATTAAAGAAATTTTTACATGTCATGTTTTGTAAGCCCAACAAAATTAACCCTATATAATTCACTATAAAAAAACATATGCAGATACTATGGGTGTATCTTACGGTTTCTTTTTTACTTTTCTGGCCATACTTTTTTCCGTTTTTTTCGCATTGACCTCATTAATTCCTCAGCTTTTCCATGGTTTAAATTTCCATGGATTTTCTATGAATATTTATTTTCTATTCTTAAAAATTAAAGGAATTTCTACAGCGTCCCACAACGAACAATTTTCCTGTTTTGTAAGCCGAACAAAATAACTCCATATAATTCACTATAAAAAACACATATAAAGATACAGTTGCTGTAGCTTATGGTTTCTTTCTAATTTTCCTGGGCCTATTTTTTTCCGTTTTTTTCTTTGAATTAATCGCGTCTATATTCCTCCATTTTTTCCATGGATATTCTTACAGAATAAATAAATTTCTCCAACATCCCGCAACGAACAACCGTCATTTGTAACCCGAACAAAATCAGCATATTCTCAGGCCGAAAACCAAAATAATAAGCCGACAAATAAGCGAGAAAGCGGTCGCATCACAGTCGTTTTCATTCGCGCACCAGTCGCAGCACATTGGGAATCCGTTCGCGTTCCTCCAGCGTCTCGGCCGGGATGCGCTGCAGGAAGGGTTCATCCAGCAGGGCCATCTCGCGGTCGGCGGCCACGGCGCACTCCTGGATGTTGGTGATGATGCCGGCGGCGGTCCAGTCGCTGCGGACCAGGGCGTGCTCCAGGGTGAAATTACCGCAGCGGATGCGCCGCAGCCGCGTCACCACGGCGCTGCACTTGCAGTCTTCGGCGATGTCGTTGATCATCTTCATTAAAAACCTGTGCAAAATACATATATGACCATTAATAAACTGCTATTAATTTAATCAGTATCTCTTTTTTATTATGTATTAGTAATAAGCATAGCGAAAATATTTTTTGTAATTAATATAAACAATATTTCTGGTAAAAAAATTAAAAAAAATTAACACTGACGAATTTATTAATTATTAACTAATTAATCAATGCAATTGCAGTCTTCCCGCGATGTCGCTCATCATCTTCATTAAAACCTGCAAAACAGTATCTTCTACAAATTAACGGAAAAAAATAATCCCTATCATTAAAAAAATATATGTCTTGCGCAAACCAAAGAGAAGTTAGTGCAGTGAGAGACGTTAGAAGCCAATGCAGATGTTCAACGTGAATTGATATCAACTTCCTGCCGCTGCACTACGATCAAACCCGGTTTGTACCGAGTGCGTATGAAAATCACACAAATCGTTGACATTATCTCTATGCAAAGACTAACGCTCTGTAGCCCAAATTCAATTTAATTAAAAATAAAACAATAAAAAATAATGCTTCTAATTTCTTAAATATAATAAAAATAATAATACGAATTTCACGACGGAAAGTTGCAATTATTTTGTAGATATTCACAAATTAAAAAAATATTCTCCATAGTATCGTAGGAAAATTGCCGAATGAATTTCTGAAGTTCGTAACCAGAAGGAAAAATAATTTCCTTTAAACTGAGAACTAAACGTACGTGTCAGTCTCGTTGATGCAGTGCACCTCCACGGTGAAGTAGGGCGGCTGGAAGTCCACCAGTTTGAGCCGGTAGATGAGCTGCAGGGAGTCGTCGCGCGGGCGCACCAGGCCGCGGGCGCGCAGTTCATAGGCGGTCTGACTGCGCGGATCGACGCCGTAGGATGACTGGATGTGCCGCTGGAACTGGCCTTGGTAAAAGGTCAAGAAGCGCTCCAGCCGGCCGCGCGTCACATGACTGAAGGTCGTCCGCTCCAGGACGCGGCCCGTCTGCAGGTAGTTGGTGGTGCGCAGGCCGAATTTACCCTGGATGTGGTACGCTGCGGGGAAGGGAAAACATTATTTTTCTGTGAATAACCATTAATCGAATTATTATGGGCCTGAAAACATTGTAGTTATTTTCATTTACTGTTGGGGAAATATTTAAAAAATTCTCAATCTTTACGTGACCGGTTATTACAGTAATTATTCATTCATTTCAATAATTTTTTTTATTAATTGAATTTATTAATTTGCGCGTTGATTAATTTATCTACATTCTCAAATAATTATTCATTTATCAACAGTTATTAACATGTTACACGTGACCAGTTATTTTTTGGTACTAATTTACGGCACATTAGCTGTATCATTGTAAGTGGATGCAGGAAACAAAATACTTTACATGACACATAAAAATATTTTGATAATACATGACAGTTCGGTTACCGATTCCAAAAATTCCACAAAAATTGTCGTAAATATTAAACAGTTATTCAAGTGTGTTTATTGGGCAATAGCCGCCATAACAACAAAAGTGCAAGCGCGGGCACACTACTTTACAGTTAAAATTTAAACATTAAAAAAACAACCAAAATCAATATCCGCCCGCGGGTTAAAAGGCAACGTACTTAACACAGCAGTAGCATTTCCCTTAATGACAGCCAAACTAAAACGTTGCTTCATAAAAGCAGTAGAACGCGCTTCTCCAGTTAATTCACGAGTTTTACGGCCCATAAAATGTACAAATTCACTTAAAGCTAGGCCAAAGACACCGAACGTTTCAACAACTATTCAAGTTACTTATTTTTATTCAAGTTACTTATTTTTTAGTTATTCAAGTTACATATTTTTATTACTTACAGTGATGCAGATACACATATCTGAAACAAGGGTGGCACTGGTAAAGATCTCGAGGTAATTATGCCGCTGCACTACGACTGGTTACCCCTTATTAGACGCGGTACAGTGGTAACTACTACCTAACTATTGTAGTAACTATGGAGAACTGAATAAAAGTATTATCGAGAGAAAAATTAATTACCCAGAGAATCACCAATAAACCGATTCTATCATATACTGTACGAGTAGTAACAGTGTAGTTTCTTCTTAAAATTCAGAATTAAATTTTCAGAATAAGACTTGAGAAAGCAATTTCCTTTTTAATACGAGTAAATTCGAACTCTCAACACGCATCACACTTCCACGTTACGAATAAATCTTTTAAAAAATATTATTCAAATTTTCAATGCTAAACAAAAATTAAAACTTCTGTTTCAATCGACATCGTTTCTTTCAATTTCGAAAACAGCCAACACTATACACAGTAAAAATTAATAGAAGTTGTAATACGGTAAAATTATGACAAAATATGGTAAAATTATTACGTAAGAAATTAAACTAAACTGATTATGTACAAAAATAAAAGACCTGGTTAACAGATTGTGCAGTGTCAAAATCAAAAAATTCTGCAGTAGGTAAACAGGCAGAAAGTAAAATGTATGGAAAAAGGGAATGTTAATACTGTAAACTTCTGTTTGTTAATCTAAACATTACTGCGAAATTTGGGAGACCGACACATGCTGCGCCACTGTTCTACGAAAATTACCGGCAGCAACCAAAAGTCCGAAACACGATAAATGAAAAAAAAAAAACTGCCAAAAAATACAAAATAAACAAAAAATTCCAAATCTATTCCACCAAGAATTTAAGTAATGTTTTCACCTGTTCGAACATACACCAACAAAAGAAAATTAAGTAATATGAAAACAAATTAACACAGCGTACTCGAAAGTTTCTGCAGGAATTAATGAACATCAGTCCGAACATCTCTGTAAATCACTACAAGCAATCGCAAAGAAGAAAATAAACAGTAAATTAAATATTAATACAACGTTCCTATCCTAAGCAAAACCCCTGGCAATAATCAAACACCAAAAACTTAACAGTAAAATTCCACAAAAATCTCCAAATTAGTCCAAAATAATTCCAAAATACAAGAAAACATAATACAAATAAACGGAAGAAAAAACAAACCAACCAAAACGAACTGTTCTACGGAAAATTCCTGACAACAATCAACACCGTTAAAAAATTTGACAAAATTTCCAGAACTATTCCACGAAGAAATTCCACAACCAGATATACGAAAAATCAAAGAAAGTAATTGAAAGAAAAATTAAGCAAACATGATTGACTCACTGCATACGGGATTGCGATGGGACATGCTCCGCAGGGCGCCCACCCCCCGCGCCCCCACCCCGCACACCGTCACCCCCGCCATCTCCGTCACCCCAAAATGGGCGATGCGGATGTTGAAGTCGGTCTTCTCGAAGGCCGGTCCCAGCAGCAGGGGATGGTCGCGAATGTCGGGGACCGTGGTGACACGGTACTCACTGGAGTTCTCATCCGGAGGCTCGATCTTCACCAGGGACTGGGCGCTGGCACGGGGCAGCTCGTTTAGATCTGCAAGATACGGATGTTAAAAAAGTGGAAGATGGTGGCGTGGTAAAGAGCACACCGCGGCAGAGATTGGTGCGCAGAGCCCAGCGCAGGATACGATGATGGAGATCCGAGGGTTTGTAGATGCAGAAGACACCGTTCAGCAGTTTGAACGCCATGGACGAGTTCTCGATGATCACCATTCTCGGGGTGAGGTATTATTACCGGAATGATGTCCCCCAATATGCTGGAATAATTTACCACTGTAATCACCAGTTAACAATCAGAATAAAAAGTTGAAAGTCAAAAGTGTTGGGAAAAATCAGTAAAGTATCTTAAAATTAGTTATTAGTATCCGAAAAATACGATTTCTCGATTTTTAAATTTTACAGCAGCAGGGTTTCTTCATTTTTCTAACTGCCGTCCTAGGAAGGGTAGCTACCAGATTGCCCGCTAAACCTTTGTAACTGATATCAGTGATATCAAAATCAACCGGAAAATTTTCCCTTGCAAGATTGGATAAAATATGTACTAACAAAAAAAACCGTGACAGCTTTAAATTTTCAAATTATTACTGCCGAATGATTTCGATAATGTTCAACGCCCGTTCAGCTGGGGAAGTCAGCTGCAGCTCCATTCGTACTGGTACAGTGTTTGAGTACATTAACGATAAGTATTTGTACATAGCTCTACATATAGATATACTATACGATATTACTGTAGTTTTTTTGAAAAAAAATAATTTTACAATATTTCGTTTGCTTCTGGCTTTACAGTTAGTCGAGGCATCAGTTTTAACATTTTTGCAATAAAAAACACTAAATACTTTAAAATAATTAATAAATAAACCCTTACAAAGATAAACTAAATTTTGTTTACAAGTGTGAAGTGTATTAGTTAATTTATTATAGAATATCCAGTGTTTCGCTCTATAGTACTATCATAATATTACTAAACTTAAGAGTTAAGGTTTAGTAGTATTATAATGGTACTATAGTCTATATATACTCGTGTTTTCTATAGCTGTGAACAGTATAGCTATGCTCACATTTTTTATTTTTTATTCTCGATCGCTGTAATTAAATCATAAATCACACCAACAATTACACTAATAATTCATATATCTACGCTCCGTATGATACGTATAAGCACTGATTATATTCCTCGTATCTCATGCACTTAACGGTCTGCATATTGTATTATTACTGACTTTTTTACTGGACCTTTCACATTTTCGCGCTCCTCCCAAGGTCACGTAAACAGGAAGATCATAATCTAATAGACAACCGAAACCGATGATTAGTTTAATGCTTCCTGTCTAAAACGTTATTCAGATTAATCAGCGTAGGTCGATAGATTTGGTACTAATCCTGTAACCATCGGATATAAATAAATGTAAATTAGGTAAATACTAATTAAAATTATTAACCTATAAGAAAAACACAATTTTGAAGGTGGCCTGCAGTATAAGGGGGACAGCTAGCCGGCGCAGTTAACGGTAAATACCCTCGATCGGGTCTAGAAATAGCCAGTTAAATTAACCAGCCATATATATATATATATAGACAATCGAAACCGATGATTAGTTTAATGCTTCCTGTCTAAAACTTTATTCAGATTAATCAGCGTAGGTCGATAGATTTGGTACTAATCCTGTAACCATCGGATGTAAATAAATGTAAAAAGTAAATACTAATTAAAATTATTAACCTATAAGAAAAACACAATTTTGAAGGTGGCCTGCAGTATAAGGGGGACAGCTAGCCGGCGCAGTTAACGGTAAATACCCTCGATCGGGTCTAGAAATAGCCAGTTGAATTAACCAGCCATATATATATATATAGACAATCGAAACCGATGATTAGTTTAATGCTTCCTGTCTAAAACTTTATTCAGATTAATCAGCGTAGGTCGATAGATTTGGTACTAATCCTGTAACCATCGGATATAAATAAATGTAAATTAGGTAAATACTAATTAAAATTATTAACCTATAAGAAAAACACAATTTTGAAGGTGGCCTGCAGTATAAGGGGGACAGCTAGCCGGCGCAGTTAACGGTAAATACCCTCGATCGGGTCTAGAAATAGCCAGTTAAATTAACCAGCCATATATATATATATAGACAATCGAAACCGATGATTAGTTTAATGCTTCCTGTCTAAAACTTTATTCAGATTAATCAGCGTAGGTCGATAGATTTGGTACTAATCCTGTAACCATCGGATATAAATAAATGTAAAAAGTAAATACTAATTAAAATTATTAACCTATAAGAAAAACACAATTTTGAAGGTGGCCTGCAGTATAAGGGGAACAGCTAGCCGGCGCAGTTAACGGTAAATACCCTCGAATCTCGATCGGTCTAGAAATAGCCAGTTAAATTAACCAGCCAGGCGGTGCTAATCGCTCGAGTTATATCAGGCGACAAATGTCTCCCGGCTGTACCAGGGAATCCAGGTCTTGGCGTCCAATTAATTTTTCTTTGCTTGGCCGGCTATTATTTGTGTGCATGTACTATGTATATGCATGGGCAGCCAGATTAGCGGTCATCAGCGCCCGCGAAGCCCGTCAACAAGGTGTCTCGTTAAATCAAATTGCTGTCGATCGATTTCTGCAGATTTTTGCACGCGACAGGGATAAACCATTCAGGGAAACTCTGAGTAAAAAAAATGGGAGTAATCCATCTTTGCCTCAGGAACTCTTTGTCCATTTAATTAATGGTACAGTATGCTAGTGGCATTTAGATTTAGATGCGACATTTCTTTAATTTATGCAGTTAATTTTAATCATTTAGATTTTTACCAACTGCCTGTCCATCCATATCTGTACATCGTTGCACATAGAAACAGTACACCGAGGCCGGATAAATATCCAAAAACTTACTGCGTGTATAATTAGTAATTAACTGTATGTGCTAAATTTGCTCTGGCTGTCATAGTGAATAATATACAAAGTAGGTATCATGATTTCCAGCCTGAAGGCTGCTTTAAAACTTTTTATTAAGTTCTGCCTCTGTATTGCCTGCAGTACTTGTATAATAGTTTCTAGCTTGGAAGTAGCCGTCCGTGAGATTGTGATTCCAAATACTTATGCATTTTCTTGTTCGCACAGACTTTTGTAAAGGACCCAATTCATCTTCCGGTGCAATACAACAATTTATTATTATGTGTTTACGAAATGTACATTTACAATACTCTTGTTTTTTTTGCGACGTACTAGTTTTACGTTAATTTTACAAACAATAACTATGGTTTTCCATACAGTTTTATAGTACGAGTAATACTGATTTTGTTTATAGTTTTTTATATCTATAATCTTCAGTTTACTAATTAATATGAACTTCATGATATATATTACGTATACAGCTTTTTGTACTACAATATATAAAATTTTATATAGACTCTAGTACTACGTGTATACCAGATACATTTAAAAATAAAAACACAGCAAAGCCTTAAATTTCGGCTGATAGGGGAGTTTTAATCTTGTACTAGTACTTATATATGTACTTTTCGTTAAGAATTAAAGGAAGAGTTTTTTGGGCAATTTGCATTGCCGGTGTGTCACTATTAAGTACTTTGGTGCAAGAATTAATAATATAAGTATCCAAGTGATAAGTTGACAACTCCGCCACATTCGGCCTCCTTATAATCCCGTGAGGCTCACGTGGGTCGGGCAGTGAATTAGCAGTTCCCGCCGGCGATAGCTGTAGCTCACGCAATGCTGCAATATTTTGGGCGAGTCAGGTCGCGGAGATTGCACGCGCCTTCCGATCCCACGGTGGCAATGGCATCGCTGACCTTCGCCAGATCATAAAAAGTGGGCGAGGTCATTCCAACCTGCAAGATTAATTTGAGTACATATACTAATACATGAAGTATTATAGTTTAAGAGCATATACTCGTACAGTATAGTTTCCCCAGCTGATACCAAAAATGAACAGCAATTGATCGCAACCAGTATATAGTATAACGACGTACGCTGTACATAATTGCTAATAAATACTTTTATAAATGTATGATTTTTGTGCCCACTTATTAATATATAAACACTTTTATACGTGTGGGCTGTATTATGAAGTTAATTGGCATACCATAATAATATTCTGAGCCTTTATTCTGGTGCTCCACGTATGCATATAAATATTCTACACATACGAGTATATAGATATACATTACTCTTATCTTTCTTTCCAAGTTTGTAGTTCTTAGTTGTAGTTTGTAGTCTTTTCTTTCCAAGTTTGTAGTTCTTTTCTTCTCGTAGGTTTTATTAACGAATACACAGCTGCTAAGCTTATTAGTATCTAAAACAACCTACAGAAAATCTCGCGAAAAATATGTGCTTAATTAAAAAATTTATTTTAGTTGTCAACGTTTTCTATTTTTAATGCTAACAGTGTATGAAAATTGTATTGTCTATAAACTATCTGTGATATCCTGAATCATCTAGCTTCGCTGTAGAATTAATGATTTATTTACAGTAATTAAAAAAGTGTAATTACTTATTACGCCTAATTCATTTTCTGACAAATTTCGTTTATTTCTACAATACTTGTACACCTAAAAAATATTTTCATTTTCTTTATTGCACGGCTTGTAAAAGAGGCCGCACGCGCGGTCATCAGCTAACTCTGCGTGTACGTTTTGTTTTGTTGATTATTTTGGCCGGCACTTTGCGCATGCGGAACAATCACGAGGGAAACCGTTTTACTCACGTTTTCATCAGCACGATGTGTTTCTTATGATCACCGACATAATCTGATCCTGACTTCATTCACGCCGCCCGGCTTCTCTGATCCTACACGGCGATATTCGGGTATTAATAGCGTTTATCCTATCTCGAAATTTCCATGTTCCTTGAGTAAACCGAGGAGCGGCGTTACTCAGTAAAATTGGGTGCCCTAAGAAATTAATTTCAACGTCGCTGGAGCGTCTCCAAAAATAAGATAAACACAAAATAAAATAATCAGCATAAATAATTAAAATAACAAATAATTAATATTTGATTAACCAAAATGTAATACTAATTAATAATCTTTTATGACAATAATATGTTTTATTTATTAAAAATAGTTAATAATATGTTTACTAAAAAATATATTTATTATTTCTTCTCAATATTTTTAACCTTTAAACTTTATTTTTTTTTAAAAATGAATTTTTCCATATTCATAAATCGACCGAAGCAAAGCGAAGGTCCTCTATGTTCAAGAAAACTGGATTTGTGTCGGTCAATCAAATTTTGTAAGAACGAATTTGATTATTGTTATTCGTAAATTATTCTGGTTTAAAGATACAATTAAAATATATTTTCCAATAAAATTTCTCCAATATAATTTTGGTGAAAATTGGTGTCACTTAATTTCAGGTGTTCTTATGCAATAAATCTGACTGCAAATTTCGAAAACGATGCCGGCACATGTCAATCGTTCTTTATAATATAAAAATTCGCCTCTCCCAAAACACGACCAACAAAAACATATGACACACAAAGAAACCACCACAGTAATAATAAAATGAACAACCCGAATGATAGATTCCGAGAGAATAATAACGACGCACAAACAACCGCGGAAAATACTTGAAAAAATCGCACAATTCAACCGCATTACAATCCGCGCCGTTTCTTCTTCCAGGCGCGTTCGGCATCAACCGCCGGGGCGTTCAACATGTGGTACAGCACCCGGCCGTTGTGATGATTATTTATTTCCACGTCATCGTCGTAGCGTTCTTGTAAGAGTTCCTGCGCCGAACTGATGCCGTGCGGTCCGATGGGCGTGTTGATGACCTCCTCGAATTCCTGTTGCAGACTGGATTCGCGGCGTTTCAGCGTCTCGATCTTCTGGCTGAGAAAGCCGCGCGGGCTCTCTTCGGCGGGGGCGCCGGCTTTGGCTTGGATGCGTTTGAGTTTGGTGGACAGGCGCTCCTCGCGCAGCGGCCGCCCCGGGTCGCTGCCGGCCGGCTCCGGGGAGATGGAGGCGGCGGGGGAGGCCGGGAGGCCCGAGAGGCGCGGGTAGGCGTGGGACCTGGATAAATTGAAAATTTTAGTAATTTTAGTAATTAAAATTATAAAATAAAATTATTTAAAAATAACTACAAGGCCAGGGAAAAAATCTGCCTTATTTTGTAACTATTTGGGATAATCTGCTTGAAAAAGTTAGCAAAAAGCAATTCTTACAGCCGTTATTTAGAAAATACAAATAAGGTTAAAGGTTTAATGGTTTAACGTCCGCACACATTCAGCGCGAGAGCCCAGTTCGAGGCAGCAGGCACTCACAAGTCACAACAACAACAATTCTCCAGAATACACAGTATTTCAGATCAAGCTTCCGCAGCGTATTTAAACACACAACTCAGTACACTTTTACATTACAATCTATGTAATGCAAACTGTAAAGATATTTATGTAACGTAAAGGTAAAGGCATCTATAAATAATTATTTACGGCAGCGGTGGAAATTTTTAGAATGGAGGGGTCAGAAAAATCCTTACAGAAATCAATAACAACCGTGTGTCGAAGGAGAAAAATCAATTATTAAAAAATAAGCTTTCGGTGGAGTTGATAGTTTACCTCGAGTGTGAAACGACGTCATTGGCGTGGTGTTTGTACACGGAGGGGTCCAGGCTGTGGGGAATGTACAGCGGTTCCCCGCCGGGCCGTTCCACCCGCACCATCATCCCGGGCACCAGCATCATGCGGGGATAATACGCCGCGGGGGCGGTGGCGGCGGGGAGGGACGGTTCCGTGATGAAGGTGGGCGGGGTGTACTTGACGCTGACGGAGCCGTCGTCCGAGAGCGCCGAGGAGGCGGAGGAGCGCGCTGACAGAGGAAGGCCGACGGCCGGCGAGCGCCGGATGACCGACACGGCGACGGTCTTCTTGCGGGCCGACCCGCTCCCGGGCTTGCCCAGGCGGGCTAGACTGGGGCTGGGCTGGCCGGGCGAGGGCACGGCCGGGACGCCCACCGCCCGCAGTTCCTGCTCGATCTCGGCGGCACGGGCGTTCTGCTCGGCGATCTTGTCCTGGATGGTGCGCCGGCCGCGCGGACGCCCCCAAGCCGTGCGTTTCTGCGAGGAGGGGGACGGTGCGTCGTGGTAGTATGACGCCGAGTCCTGATAAAAATTAACCGCAATTATTACATCGTTTTTCTAATTTTTAAAAAATTTATATGATATTTTTCTGAAATTTTTTTATACTTATTTTTCAAAAGATATGTTTAATTTTTTTAAATTTTATTTTTAAATTTTTATTCGTTATTTGAACTGGCTAAATTAAATTTTGTTTCATAAAGCCAAAGTCAGAATTATTTTATCATAAATTTAATTGATATCGGTTTCGGGAAACCACAGCCTTAAAAAATAAATGCAAATAAAGTTCCTTTTTCAATTTTAGAACGGTTAGAAATTAATTTAAATACTATGCTGCGAGATGAAATTAATATGGTTTTTTCGCTTATTTTTATTTATTGTGATCAAACCGGTTAATGTACGATTATGCAATATATTCGCGAAGATAAAACGCATCGTTATACTTCCGCTTCACGTGCTACCGCGGCCATTATCGCGGCCATAAAACGGTTGCACTCCTTTCTTTACGGCTTAATAAATACAGTCATACTGGCTATTTATACCACGGCACAGTGCAAACTCCCTCAATAAATTACGCTGCAGTTCTATGCATGACGCAGATAAATAACTTTCTAACTATCCACATGTTCTCACGCCAAATTCGGGCTAACTCATATCAATGATTAACGAACAAACAACCCGGGGTGTTCCTGTTGGCACGCGCGGACGCTCCACGTGTATTTTATTTTTCTTGCTCATTCCAATAAAAATGATTCAAAACAGATACTCGTATTTAAAAAAAACTAATTCAAAAACTGATCAAATATTATAGTATTAATTGTAATTATTTATTATTTAAAATTAATTTATTACTTTCTTACTATAGTTACGTTTTTCTTTTATATTTTTGCAAAGCATGGAAATTCTAATAAATTCTGTTTTAATTAACAATTATTACAGATTAATAAGTTCTGGTTTTTAATTAATTCTCATTTATTGCATTTTATTTTACGTAATTTTTGAAAATTTGTTTTATTGATTTTTATTTATTGACCGATTTGTTCATCATAACCGCGCATTTACCGAATGATGCGGCTGCTGTGAATCATCCATCTCCGGCTCATCATCCTCCTCGTCATACGTGGTCCACTGCGGCTTAATGGCAAACTCCAGGAAACTGCGCCGCGGGGCGGTCACCGGCCCCAGCATGGTAGCCAGGGCGTGGTGCTGTGGCGGCGACGGTGCGGCGTCGTACTTGCGTTTGCGGTGCACCGGGTGGGGGTGGTGGTGTTCCATGAGGGGGTGCGGGTGGTAGTCGTCGCGCGGCTCCTCCTCCTCATCGGAAAAGCGGCTACGGTAGGTGTAGGCCGGTTTGCGGCGGTAGGAGGCCGGCGAGGCGGACTCGTAGTCGTCGGCGTCGCCGGGGATGTTCATGACGGAGGGATTGGTGATGAGGGACTGCAGGGACACGGTGGCGTGGCTCGTGGCGATGGGCATTATGGGCTGGACGGGGTCCGACGAGCGGGGCGGTGTGGGACGGTTGTCGCCCGTTTTCCTGTTGAAAAAAGCTTGTTTATTTTTGGATCAAATATTTTCTTAGATTAACAGGGTATTTTATACGGATTATTTTCTTTGCTGTAAAGCTCATTTTTCTAACATAAGTATCATTTTATTTATACCTTTTTATTACGTTAATTAAATCAACTATTTTTCTGTTTTTATTTACTAACGGGTATTTTATTTAATCATCTATTTTCCTTATTTAATGCGTCTATTTTTTCACAGTTTATTTTCTTAAGCACCATTAAATTCGATCTTCTACAAATTTACCTACAATTATTTCCTATCAATTTGACGTTTTCTAAAACTGGTAATTCCATTAGGATGTACGCTAAATTATTCCTTTCTGCTGTGAAAGGATTTAGGGCGGTAACAAAATTCAGTTATTTTCGGCGAGATAATTTTTTTATTTATTACTGCAACAAATTGTCGACTAGATTATGCAGCAAAAAAAATAATAATTACCTCACATTAATCGGATTATCCGCGATTTATTTAAAAATAATTATAATTTAGCGCATAGTCTCAATTTTGAAGATGAGCGATTAGTATTACGGGGCTTCTCCGATGTTTTCATAACAATTCGTCACCATTACACAGTCGGGGACGGCGCTGCAGGTTGACGTTGGCGAAATATATAGGTGAAACATAATCCGTTGACGTTAACGACGACCTCAAATTTCTTTCACTTATGCAACATCATTCTGTAATTATACTTTTGTGACGCAGCACTCTGTCGCAGCGGCTGTGCGGCTTAAAGCCTGGTCGCAGCCCGCGCATTCGCCGGAAAAGGAAAATAAAAAGCAATATATAGATATTTATTTGCTGCCCCGGAGAAAATCGATACCGCACGTACAATGTAGGACTAAATGGTCGCATAGCCCCATACCCAGCATTCTGTACGCAAGCGGTGCAGTGCACTTGTACGAAACGGATATTTTGAACTCAGTCGTACAGTGCACTGCGCTGCATTCGTACTGAATGTGGAGATATTGGGTATGCGACCATTTTGTCCTAAGCTGTAAGACTGGTAATGAAAAATTCAATAAAATCCCAAAAATACCCCCAGTCCGAAATATTATCAATAATTCACTTACTTAACGCTGTGCACCCGATAAACCGTTATTTACACTGAGCACAAAATTCCCCGATAAGATCCAGTACATGCACTACGTAATTTGCAATAAATTTACATAATCCAAACAGATCAGCGGAACGCGCGGGTTATGGAGAAGTGCTGCGTCAAACCAGTTACCTCGAAGTTATAGCACAACGTGAACACACCGAATTACGGAGAAATCGTTATCGCGTCTGATCGGACGGGGTGATAAGCCCTCGTTTGGGGAAAAAACCGTATATTGATAATAAATACGGGAAAAATCGTTGCGCTGACGAACGACGATCATAAGCTGCTATCGACAGAAGTGCGCGTTTCTTTACCTTGTAACGAAGAACCGGTTAACTAGGTTGTGCAAGAGGGAGGAAAATGTTTCATCAAGTGACGCACGGATGCATTAAGAGGGAAATGTGAAAATGCCAACTTGCCTCGGTCTCGTGTGCCAGAGTGAAAAGGAAAATATCCTCTCTGTCTCTCTTTCTCCTTTCTGCCCCTCTCTCTGTCTCTTTATAGCTCTCTCTCTCTCTGCCGCTCTTTCTCTCTTGTCTGTCTCGTTCTCTCGATGACGCAGAGCCATTCACCCGCACTGCGTTATAGAAAAATTGCGCACACCGATGACGTCACGCCCATACGCTATCCTCATTCTGAGATTCTCTCTCTGCCAACGCGCTGATTTTTCATCCTCTGGTATTTTGCAATTTTCCATGGGGCGCTGCATGGACTAATTGTTATGAATTAAGCCGTTTAAAAATTCAAATGGAAAATTGCCGATTGACGGAAGAGCACAGCCTCCGATTGGCTGCCGTGCAATGGGCTGATTAAACACGACTGCCTCGTAAACAAGATAATTGTTATCGCGGCAATACACAGCCTTAATTGCGCTATCGGCTCAGGGACGGTCCGGGCGAGCCGTACCGGTTGATACGCAATTTGCTGATGATGTATCGATAAATGCCATCTGACAGTCACCTACCTGTTCATCGATACAAGAGACGCAAAAAGTTGGACGACGCCGCTGTGTTGCAAAACATGAATAAACGCGTTCTGCGTACACCCGGCATTAAACGCTGTTCTCTGTAATAGTTTTATAACTAGCTGAATCTCGTAGCAATGCGCCGCAGGTCTTATTCTGCAGCAGAAACGGATGTTTATCTGGAGAACTCGGTTTTTATTAATGCCGGGCCCTTAATGCTGTTCCGCAGAAGAGTTCATTGTGTGGGAAAACAAGTTCTGGTTGGCAGGCAGTGCGCGTGCAGATGGAGAAACTTGATAACGTCATGAAAAGTTTAACAACAGTAGAAAGACTTGCTTTCTGCCGCAGCTTACAGCGCAAAAGCCGATCGGTGTCGCTGATAATTTCCCTAACGGAAAAATGCTTTCTCACCCAATCAAAAATATTTGGCTAAATGTAGCCAATACTTGTGTTGACCGAACCATAAAACCAGACATTAATCTTTTTAAAAAGCGAGACAAATCCGTAAAATACTACTTCTTACCTGGATTGTAACCGCCGTGAAATAATAAAAATAATCAGCAAAATCACGGTAATAAACACCAAGTGTTGCAAAATGCAATGTGGAGCGTTAGCGTTGAGTGGTGATCATATAATCCTTGTTTACTGGCGCCACAGCGAGAAATAAAAACGCGTAATAGCACCGGCAAACGAACGCCAAACAGACTGCGCACAACGCACAAAATCTTGGGGCTGTGTATGTAATGTGTATCTCGTCAGAGAAGACCGATTTTCTCTAGTAACTCAACCGGCCAGAGCACTACATGGAGCGTTTACGTCGTCAAACGGTTTTGCAAGCTAACTACGTAGTTGGATTGCGCGATCATGGCGCAGACGCACTCTTATAAATACGTTCATATTTTAGCAAACGCCCGTTATTACGATACGTAGTGCGCTGATTCGTAATTTCATCGAAGTACTAGTATGGTTGAGCTTGCGATTCTAGCTGAAGTGGAGTATTTTGCTTGACCGTTGTACTCATACACGTTGTACCACCACTCTGTACCACGCACTGCACTCGGTACGTCTGTACTAATACACCTGACTCAGCCGGCTTTGTACGGGGCTGTACTTGTACGTACCAGGTACGTACCGCGATTACGCGGTATTCAGCGAATCAGCAGCAAGAAGTTGGTGAGCTGTTCATGACAGCTCATGCACAATGCACACACAAACACTTATTGTACCGCGTAAAGACAATTACCGTGTAATGGTCAATTGCATTCTTGGTCAACTCACGTCACTTTAATTTATCTGTATCGTTCTATCAATAACGGTAAGTTAGGAGTATTGGTTTTATCGATCACGTACCACCTTTTCGGCATCCTTCTCCGTTTATGAATTACACCCAAACATACGTAAGAATATCTCGGGTTTAGCATGACAATTAACAAAACTCAATTTTATCGCTGATTAGAGAGATTCCTGTTCCTCATGCGATTTAAATCCTGATGCGATTTTATGATACCTTGATACTGAAACAGGAAGTGCCGGGTTACATTGTCCGATACCCTTGCCGGACTTTTGATGACTTTGCAGCATTACAGTATATGAGTAATGTTTGAATTATTTAATTTGTAGGTACACATTTTAACCTTTTACCAGTGTATAGTTAGGCAGTAGAATTGCAATTTTAGCAGTCAAACCCTGCTTCCGTTATCGTTGAAAAACCTGACCCATCCTTTTTATAATTTATCATTCGATCGTCGTAAAATACCGTGACCCCAGGAAAACTTTTATCACAAATAAATAACGTTCTTAAAAAAAGAAACCACTCGAAATGAACAGCTTTTAATAAATCGATCGGGATTCTTTCAAATTAATCACAAAATTGCTGCGCCTATTCCTTGTGCGATACGCGGTACGTACCTAAGTTCTTATTTATATTTCGAGTAGGGACTGATTATACTAGTAAGAATTTTTCATAATTGCTGCTCAAGACAGTCATAGGTTTAATTAATACTAATGTATGAATGGCCGCTTGAATTCTACTTAAGAAAATTCCTTGAATGATGCTAAAGGAAACGGTGCGTCATGTAATTATGGTAATTGTGATGTAAATGTGCACCAGACATGGTGCAGTGATCCATGAAGATTCTGCAAAATTCTGCCGTGTCATATGAATTCGACCTTATCGGACATTGCGCTTAACTCTTAAAGCTATGCATGTACGTGTGCCAGTTAGTATTTAATTTAAGGTGCCACCGCTTCTGTCTTTGCTAATTGGAAAGGTCACCCTATAACACAGTACAAACGCGTACCCGTAATACCCGTAATGTTGGAAGCCCGCACTGCACAGCTCCAAAGTTCAAAGTGCAACAAAGTTTTGCTTTTTAAACTTAACGCTGGCTAGGTTAATACGAGAAGATTCGGAAATTCTTTTGTGTAGTTTACGTGACACTAACGGCATATAATTCGTCTTTCTAAGTCACGATGACTCGTTAAAAAGTAAAGTTTTGGTAAATTTGTATTCGCTTATACATAGCTTTTAATTTTCCTATCCGGCCAGCACCAAAACAAAACAGCATAACAACCTTGTCTCAATTTAAAATTCACTTACATATGTACGTACACTATCCACCAGTAATTATCAAGCTGACTCAAAGTACCGGTAACTCGGAATGTTTTTAATGATGCTGTTATTGGGTGCCCCTCCCCGGTAACCTAACCTACATGACCCTTGTTAGAAACGGAACGTTTCACTTTTAAAAAATAGGATACCGGGATACCCTGATATATGAGCCCTTCCTGCATTTGAATTAAGTAACAAAAAAGGGAACCCATATTTGCATAGAGGTAGTTGATAAAATGCACAACCTTATTAATTTTACTGTACCCTATTTAAAAAGCATTAACTTCAGTATAAGAAAGCTTAATAAGTAAGATCAAAGTAGCATAACTGATATTAGATTGGGTTTATAAACGTAGAATTAACATTCCTTTATCAATTGTACGTACCACTACAATATATTAAAGAACAATTATCTAGTAGCAGCATAAAACATAGCAATTATTATACTAAGCACTTTTAATTGAACGTGCACGGTATTTATCCTTTTAACTCCTATGAATAATTTAATATGGTTTAATTTTCAACCCTATTGCATGTTTTCCGTGAATACATTATAATACCGTAATTGTAATTAACGACCGAAAATTACATGCCCATCAGCGTATTTGGTGTGCGCAGGATTAAGTATGCCGGCTAGACGTTTCCTGCCTTATTTCGTTCATAAGTTGCCGTTTTACTGCGAAATAATTTTACGCAATTAGTAAATGATTCTTTCTGAATTATTTAATTCCCGGGTCATAAAACTGGCAAAAGTAAGGCATTTTCTATTATATAGATTGTTCGCATTCTCGTAAGGTTTTAACAGTTATTAACTGCGGACTGGAGCAATATTTATCATGATTATACGGGTATAATTATTTGTACTGCGTAACCCAAAATTACAACACATCACGTTCACGTGCAAAAGCTTCGCAAAATCCCGGAAAAAAATGCGAATAACAGTAACTAACCTTTAGTCTCGGTTCCAGCGCGGGTAAAAGCAATCAGCTGCGACGGGCTCAGTAGCACGTCTCACAGGAAATGTTGCCGGTAAACAACGCGGTAAGTAGAAATGTAGAGTGCCGGTGCACAAACGTTTGGAAAAAAATGCTGCAGACAGGGGAGGCTGTGTATGTGGTCACGCTACAGTACGCGGCATTACGCACTGATATCTGCAGAACAAACGTACTGCGTCAGCCTTAAGCCGAATTTGCTCTTAGAGTTAATGCAAAATGCCAACGGTCGCAATTATTTGTAAAGCCGGTTGATAATAACAAGGAGGAACTCAGGAAATGACTGCACGTTATGTATTGTAGAAAAAATACATTCAGCATTTTTTGTCGTCACCAGCTTTATATGAGTAAACTTTTCCAAAGCAAACTTTTTTCCTTTTCCAAAAACCAGATTATTTTATCATATGCAATAAGCACTTAAATTTAAACAAATAGATAAAATATTTATTGTTTACGAAATAATTAAATATTTATGTAATACGTGCGGATTAATAAATTAAATAAATACGCTAAGTGTTTTATATCACTTTCGATATACGATTCGTGATTTTACAATATTTGACCGTATTGCAAGTAAATTGTTGGACATACATGTTGATAATTATTTTACCTGCTTGAAAATCAGTTTCTAGGCCTGCACCTGATTTGGCTAATGCATTAATTGCACCGTGCACGAGGCAAACAATAAGGTCATATCAAAACGACCGGCACTAGTTGAGTACGATTATAACGAACAATTTAAGTGACATGTCGAGATATAATCGGTAATATTCTTGGCAAAAACACACACATTTCTTGGCTCGAAGTTCAGTCACTGGGCCCAGGTTTCAGCGAATATTGCGCGAATAATCAAACGAACCGGCCTGCGTATACTTTTCAGCTCTGCAAGGCACGTCCGCTGCCAAGGAGAAATAGAGAAAATTTAGCTGATAGATAAAAAGAACGGTTGCCGATTTCTCGTCACCGCGGTATTACCTTGCCTGCTGACTGCAGCATTGTCGGCGCAGTAGCGTGGCGAAAGTGGTCGTCTAGGTGCCGGTGCGCGCACGTAAGGATGGCTGTTTTATACAGAAAATGGATTTCAAGGTGGATTAAATTTTTTTGATGGAATTTCGTTTTAAACGGCCAAGTGAATTAACCCTGCATTATTGAAAATAAACTATCTGAATCCATTTTCAACACTTCCACGTTTTCGCTAAGGATTTTGCGTTAGAAATATTTATTTTTACATCAGTTACGCGCTTTGTTGAACACGTTTTAATCCCATGCTTTAATAGCTGCATTTCAGAGATTTTCTATTCAAA